ACTTTAACTTGTGCATCCACTTAAAGAGTGTAGAACACATTCTGTGTTAATCTGGAATACATTGGTTTCTGCTACAGGGTAGAAAGTGAGCTAATGACATCAGAGTCAGAGGAAACTCATCTTGCAGGCTGGTCTACTCTGTCCTGCCAAGCAAGAACTCATTTCAGAAGCTTTTCTTCACCTCTCTAAAGAAAATAAGTTGCAATTGAAGTACCATCAGCGCAGTGTTTGTTGTTACCTTAGAAATCAATTTGAATCTGTAAGGGTTACAGCTATTCTGAACTTGGTGTCAAAATCACAGTGGAATCCAGATTTTGCTGTGAATAAGATCAAGCAGTAAGCTTTAGCTGTACATAAACCCCAGTATGGCCCTGGAATGCACACAGTTCTTCCTGGGACACTATGCCAAATGGAAAAAAGCATTTGCTGCATTTGCAGCAATTCATTATTTTTTAGCATCAGACAATTTATTTCTCACCTTCAATTTAATAGAGATTGCCATTTTCCATACTCACCATGGATTATGTTCTCTTTAGCTTTGCTGACTGCAGAGCCAAATCCTAACCCAAAGAACTGTCTTAACATTGCAAGGAGAGCAGCAGGAGGAATGTTCTTGAGTTGATTAATGACAGCAGAGGGACTGGACAGCAAGCTTTGGAATCTGTCTAGGTAGTTGGTGCTTGTGGATTTGTTGTTCTCAGATGTATCTCCCCCCAACATTCACACTGTCATTTTGACACGGTGTAATTATTGTTCTTTAAAAGCTTGGACAGTTTAACAGTGGCTCTGGGTTTCTTGTTCTCACTGCAGTCATTTAGCCTGCGATGAAGAGAGAGTGGAGGAGGCAAAGCTGCTGGTGTCTCACGGTGCAAGTATCCACATTGAGAATAAAGAAGAGCTGACCCCTCTGAAAGTGGCAAAGGGTGGCCTGGGAGCCATCCTTAAAAGAATGGTGGAAGGCTAAAGGGGGCTTCCCACTTGAGCCTCTCTCCTGTTGCACTTCTGCTTAGGATTGCAAACTTCACATTTTGATAGTTCATCTGGGATGTCACGTACGGTGTCAGCATGGTAATGGAATGTTTTTATTGAAGCTGTTCTTCAAGTGCAGTGCCAAAACAACTCTTTGTACTTCCTGTTAATTAAATCGTTCACTGATTTTAAAGTATTTTTCAATATCTTGCAGTTTTCTTTCAGTTTACGTTGTGATGGGTATAAATGTGGTATTCCTTCTACTTCAGATCCCGGTTTAGATTTATTTATTTCAAGAAACAGGACCAAAAATGTTTTAACCATTTAAAGCCAATTTTTGTTTACTTCTAGATTCCTTGTTTTTTCTCTTAGCTTTTGTGATTTGTGTGTGGGGTTTTGTCTGTGTTTTGTGGGTACTGATAGTCTTTCCCCAGATGACTCTAAGCTACACTGTATTTCTCTTTGTAGAATGCAGTTTGTTTGTTACTTAGGTAATTGTATCCATTTTTGCTACTCTTGGTGTATTAAGTGAAATCGGAGTGCTTGGAGCTTTTCTGTTGTTACTGGTTGTTATCAGCTGTTTTTCTCTGAGTCTTTAAATACATGTATTTGATGAAGTGCACTGGACTGCTTGCAGAATGCAGGCACAGTTTCAGGTATACATCTGCAAATACACTGCTTTATAATGGATGGCTCTGGATACTCCTCTGGGATGTACTTCTACGTTAATATTTTTTCTTCTTGTTCCTTTTGAAGGTTTCTTCTTCTTTCCGTTTGACTCCCATATGCAGCACTGACACTTGCAGTTTACCATCTTATTTTATAACAGAAGCCTGATTTAACCTTTATTTACTCATAGCAAATCCTGATATTAAGTTATTACAAGGCTGAGCTGACAAGGTAGAGCCTGAAACATGACCTCCGGTCCTGATGTTGTTAAGATAATTTTTGACACCAGTGGATAGATTTCCACTTGAACAAAGAATGAAATTCTGTGAAATAAAGAACTTTCCTAAACAACAGTCTTTGGTATTATAAAACTTTATTAAACTGACATTTAAGAAAACCAGTATTTTCTATATAGCTTGTATGTTTGGGGTGTGAACAACAAGGTGAAACTCTGCCATCCCTAACACAGCATGGAAATGCAACATGTTTGCTCTTCAGCCTCGAGGAAAGGATGAAATGCAAGCTGGCAGCTTCTACAGTTTGACTTGTAGGGATTAAGGTAATGCAATTTATTTTGATTAGCAAGACAGAAACTTACAACCAAACAAATACCTTCACCAAGGACTTTAAATTTATCTTAGAACACAAAATGCAGATTAAATTTCACTGAGGGGACTCATTAAGAACAGGAGGGATAACTTGCCTGTACAGTAAACTCTGGCCATGCAGACCTTGATTGAAGGAGGAACCTGACTGAGAAAATGTTTCTTATGTTTTCACAGGCATGGCTGAAGATTTGATTGGAGAGCAGCTGAAGCTAAGAGTTCTGTGTTCATTCTTGATCTTTGTATAGCAAAAAGCCCTGCTCTGTAGCTTTGTAAATCTACTTCCTTAGGAGCTGGTGGCTTGAATGCTGGCTTAGTTTCTGGTTCCCATATTAGTGATCCCTACTCCCTATGGGAAGATAAATGGGCCATGCAGCACGGACTGTTGGAACATCTAAAGCTAATTCTGAAAAACAGTTATGCATCCTGCATAGCTCTGCAGGGTTTTAGAGCTACACACCACGGATCAGTACCTAACTGGACTTGTGTTTTGCCAAGAGCATTGGTGGGAAGCTAAGAATGGTGCCCCATCCTTCTTAATAAACTATAGATAAACAACAAACTAACAAACATCTGCCAGAAGGCTCACATAAACCACCACACTATGGTAAAGAATTCCAAATACATGTTATTTTCCTCATCTCTACTCCCAGCAGCCTGTTTTGCTTTTTATTTTGCCTTTTTACTACCATCTATTCCTCACTGGTGGTTAGAAGTATGAGAGGAGTCATTAGTCAAGAATGTGGTGGATTGTTCCTTTCTTTTATATAAAAACTTAAACATAACTTGAGCAATTTCTACTTTTTGAACAAATATAAAACCTGTGCTGTTCCAGGAAGACTTTACTATCTGTAGAAGTTAGTGACAACTTAACCAGCATAAGCTCCTATCTTTACTGTAGCAAGTTAGGTAAGAGATACCAGCAGATAAATGTGGGAAGTGAGATGAAGGAAAGATTAAAAGAAATATGACCATGAACAGAGTCCCCTCTTCAATCACACTGGTGCTGCTGCAGAGATGTGGAAGCTGGAAAGGTGTAGCAGCAAGAACAACATGACAAGAGCACATACATGCAGGAAATGGCTTTAGAAGAACTAATACAGCTGCAGCAATGACATGAAGCCATTAATCTTCTATGAAGGGCAGGAGTAAAAGAATGCTTAGGAATGTCAGATAAATTATTTTAAATTATTGCTGTCAGCCAAGCCTTTGGACCAATGATTGATTTGAATTATATCATCAGGAAACACCACCAGTAAGAACTAGCACCCAAAGAGCAGCAGATAGTACTGACTGTTCCATTGCTGTTTCTGAGTGTGTTTAATGTCATCATCCTGCAGGTCTACACAAATTGGCTGTCAATATCAGATATTTTCAGTAAGCTGCTTCACCTGGATGGCAGGATGTGAGTGAGGAATTTGGCACAGAGTCACTAAGAACTGCCTGATTAAGGAGACTTCTGTACAGATCCCAATTTGAGATTTACCCTGGATATTTTGGGTTGAGAGGAGCTTGAGGATCCACTGCTACAACGTGGCAGTATTAGTATTAGCAAGGATGTAACCCTCTCAGACTGGCACAAACAGTTTTTGGCTAAAATAGTGTTAGAAGAATACCATTAATTCTCTTTTAGTCTGGAATGAAGCTAACACTTTAATGGGACACACCTATCAAAGAAAAATATTTAGAAGTCAGAAAACTGAGGAAAGAGCAATGAATACAATTATGCTTGAAGATCCAAAATAAATATTAACTAGGATCTCATGCCTTACATCCTTAAATATTGCCACATATTTTTTTCCTTTTATATATATATTTTTAACTCACTATTTTGATAAACATACTTAGAACTGTAGGAACTGAAGATGAAAATTTTAGCCCAGAAATCTTAAAGATAAATGCTGCATATAACTGATGGTTATAGCCTAGGAACAGTCACCAAAGGATTTATGAATATTAGATCCTATGAAAGACTTAAGTGCCAAAAAACTCGAGATCCCTGAGCCAGATATGTTTTCCTGCAGTGCATGAGACTGAAACCAGGGTCTGCCTGTATCAGCAAGGTGTGGGTCTGCATTTGCCTAAGCCCCATGGTCCTTGAGCTTTTCTGGAAGTATTACCTTTGCTTTTATGAAACACTGAGTTTGTGTAACCTTAGAAATGAGGCCCGGGGAGAAGGATTCTCTAGTGACCCAGGTGTGTGTGGTTCAATTCCCTTTTCTTTTTCCAAGAGGGCACTCATGGCTCATCTGCTGGCTCAGTGTCATTGCTGGTGTGCTTTGCACCACTTACCTTCCCTCTTGATGCTTTCATCTCTAGAAGAGAGATTGTTACACTGGGGTAAGAGACCAGAAGCAAAGTAGCGTGAGTTTTTTGCGTAGTGGGTAGGACTGGCCTGGACAGAGATTTCAATCATCCCAAACAGAGGAAGCAATCAGAACTGATGTGCTGTATGGAAGGCAGCATCACTCTTAAGATTTGAAAGCAGCTATATCTGTGTGTCAGGAGGAGTGTGATGCTGTGCATGCCTATTGGAACAAGCCTTGCAAAGGATTTAGATCTCCAGCTCCTGTTGTGTAGAGCTGTCATTTGTGTCTGAACTGGGTACCCAAATGCCAGCTCCATTAAACTGAAAACCAGAACTGCTGAAACAGACAGCTCTGGAACACTGGCACCCTTGGGAGCTTTAAGCCAAGGAGGTCACTGTTAACAGACTGTTTTCCATGTCAGGCAGCAATGGGGTAAAATTTTCCAGGATTTTTTTTTTTAAGCTTAGGTGGAACTCAGACACACAAGATTTCCTTGACGCAGGTCTTAACATCTGTTAAGATGTTAACAGATGTTTCAGCATTCTGATGACATTAACGTAACTTCTTTTTACTTCTAATGTGCAAAATCAGTTCCTTGAAACACTGCAGTGTACTGGCCATGATTACTGTTCTTGGTGCACACGAAGCAGGCTGGCTAACACTGTTTCTGGACAAGGCTGCTGGGGTTCTGAGCTTTGTGGACACAGCATTACTGGTAGTTGACTGGAAAGCTCTTTAATAAATGCTTCAGCCCATTTCCTAATTAGTTTTGCAAAATAGGTTGATGTACATAATACTATTTTTTATATTTAAATTTTTGCACAGTATAACAATATAATAAAAGAAATTTGGTTCACTTTAAAGGCCAAATCTCCTGCTATTCACAAAGTGCCTGTGTGACAGACCCTTTTTGATCCACCCCAGTGGGTCACAATACAAATGCCTTGAATACAAGTTTTAGTCATGCTTCTATGTTAATTCAATGACAACAATTTTTGTACAAAGGGGTCCAAAGGTGACAAAGAAAACTCTATTATAAACTCTAGGCTGTTTCTTCTTTTTCTGCTTCTTGCTTCTCGTCATTTTCAGGGGTTGCAGGAGCTGCTGGTTCATCAACACTTGGGTATTCATTTGTTGCATTGCTTGGTGGAACTGTGGTCACAGGAATGTTTTCTTCATTGGGTACCTGAACATAGTCTGCATTGGATTGTTTCTGAACCATTTCTCTGCAGAAAGACAGGATTAGGATTGTGATCTCACATTTTGAAATCCTATGTACACTAGAGTCTTTCAAAATAATGAATCTTTGTATTTGCTATCTGAACAGTAACCCCGATGTTATGATGTCTGTTTCAAGATTTTCTGTGTGAAAAGGTCACAACACCACTGGTGCTGAGACAGAGAGACTGACAGCATATTAACTAGAAAGACATCTGCATTGCTGGTTTAAATGATCCCATTAGAATAAAATGGATTTTAGTATGTTTAAATGTTATGCCAGGAAAATGGAAAGGGAAATGCTGGCAGCATCTGAGGATGATAGCAATACTTGTTGCTTCATGTGAGCTTTCTGGGAAATTCCATGTAGATCTGGGGTCTCATTGAAGTGCATGAAAAATAGATTTCAGTCAGAAAAGAATTATGAAAAGACTGAAATCTGGAAAGGTCATATAAAATACATGTAGTATTTCAGAAAATATGGAAATCTATAAAAATATTTTTAGTAACAGGTATTAATTCCTTTTATCTTATCAAAATTATAATAAACCAACTCCCAATACTGAAGCACTTGCACATGGTAAAAAATATCAGATGCTAGTGGATTAATTCAATGCAGTAAGATTTATTAGGATCCAAGTACAAAACTAGGTGTTAATGCTGCATCAATTGAAAGCAAAAATCAGGTGCATGAGTGACTGATTACTGGTCTGGGTTAGCAGAATTCTGTATTAGAAAGTCTTAAAGCTGTGCTACAGGGAAGTCACAGTTTTTTTTCTGGACTCTATGTAGTTATTTAGCATTTTACATCAATGGGCTGAATACAGTCTATATAGTGCATGAGATTATCGAAGTCTTAAACCTGTGCTACAGGGAAGTCACAGTTTTTTTCTGGACTCAACTCTATGTAGTTATTTAGCATTTTACATCAATGGGCTGAATACAGTCTATATAGTGCATGAGATTATCCCTGTTCTGAAGATTTGGCAATTTAAGGAGAAAATGAGCAACCAAAGCACAGAGAAGAAAACATCTCCAGGGCAGGATCAAAATGGACATTCTGGGCTCCATTCTGTTGTCTAAACCTTGTGTTTCCTGCAATCTGAGATGCCTGGGACTATCCCAAGTGTGTGTCCTGTAATTTCAGATAGCACTGACCTGAGCCCACTGTGTTTAAATATCAGTAAATTTCCTGAGGTGACTCTTAGCTGCTCTTTATTTTTTTACTTCCTCCACCTGCTTTTAAGAGACCCCATTAACTTTAAATCAAAAGAGCTGTTTTTATAACTTGCCACTTTAGTTTGTGTTTAAAAACATTTACTTCACTGTTTCAGATACTGCTAAGTGGTAGCTGCCTTTTTAAAACAGGGAAGAGGGCAGTGGCACCTTCTGTTAAAAGAGCAACAGGTAAAATGTCCCCCAAAAGCAGATGTTCATTCTGGAAGTTTTCTCAAAACTTGTATTTAGCTCTGGATTAGCAGCAGTGCTTTACAAAAATAATTGTCTTAAAATTAAGTAAACAGAAATTCTTACTGCATCTCATTATTTGGTGACTTCCTATTTTTTGCCTTCTTGGTTAAGACCCAGACAATAATGCAGATTATAGCAGCTGCCAGAATTGCTCCAATCAGTGCTCCAGCAACAACACCACCATCTGAATCTGCAAAGAAAAAAAAAAAAAGATTACTTGACCTTTCATAAAGTAGTAGTACAGCAAAATCCCATGGAAATTTGTAGCAGGAGCCTTTAGCAGAAAGAAGGGATTGGATTCAATGAACTCTTTGCAGGAGGGTGGCCAAAGATGCTCCAGGGATGTGAGAGCTCCATGCTTGGGTGGTCTTTGCTGCCTCCCTTCTCATTGGGTAGCTCCCTATCCCGACAAACTCCCTCTTTGTGCCTGGCTAAGGGAATCATTGGGCTGTAATACTGGCAATAGGTTAAAGCCTTTGCTTTTCAATCGTTGCAAACACATCCTGAAATCCAGGCTGCCTTTAGTTCTGTCTTTCAGCTAGTGATCACATCTCCAGTGTACTACCACATTTCACTGATGGTTGTAATTTCTCAGTGATCACATCTCCAGTGCCCCACTCCTTGTACTACCACATTTCACTGATGGTTGTAATTTCTGGGTGGGAGACCTCAGTGGGACTGTTGGCTGGAAGAAATTGCTCAAAACTCCTTGTCTGTCTGTTCTCAGTAAAGACTCTGCAGTCAGAACCAGATCCAGCTCCTGCTCCTTGCAGGAAATTAAGGTGGGGATGTTAAATCAGTTTTCTTGGTCGTTGTAAAGCCTGGGCAGGCCTGGATGAAAACTCCAGAGCTCTCCAAGTCCTGTTCCATTCTTACTTGAAAAAAATAAAAAAATCTAAGCTTCAAAGTTGTTAAAGAATTTTCCTGCAAGCTGTGTATGTCCTCCATCAAAGATGTGATTGCTTTCATGTGTTTTACTTACGTTTTGCTGTTAGGTCAAGCTCACAGGTGCTGTTCCCCAGGAGGTTGCTGGCTATGCACCTGTAGTAGCCAGTTTCAAAGGTGGTGAGGTTGCCAATGTAAAGGATGCCAGAGTTTGGATCTGTGACAAGTGAGGAGCAGGTACACATTACTGTTTGTATTCTGTACAAGCAAACAGTTCTCTGCAGTGGGTAACACAGAGCTATTCGGATATTAAAAAAAGGGTTCACCAATTATTGATTTATTTTGTGTGGGGTTTTTTTATATTCTTTAAAACATTTACCTTCCTAGAAAATTGCTCCAGTGGATTCTTTGGAGGTGTATTAGAAGTCCCTACTCTGCCAACCAGTCTGGCTGGTGTTTTACCCACGTTGATACTGTGGCTGTCTGTGTAACTCCACAAATGAAAATGTAACAGGTCCAGAAAATTTCTGGGAGGGAAGGATGTGCTAGTACTTGAATGACAAATTGATTCAACTTAAATTCACTCAAAATTTCAAGGGAAGAGAGATGTAAAGACATAAATATTTCTCCCATTTTAACAATTTAAAGGCATGGACACGACTTCAACTTTATATTAAATAGAAGGAGCATCCTGTGGTTTTGACAGCTGTCAGTTGATTTGAATAAGTAAAAATATGATTCTGTGCCATTGACTGTTGGAAGAGGAGGATTAATTTAATTAGCCTGTGTGATGCACAGCATTTGAAGTGCTGGAATTTCAGATCCTGAACATGGTTTGTTAGTCCTGTAGTTACATACCAAGTTGTTCTGTCACAGGCTTGAGGGTGTTCTCATCGACTTTGTACCAGCGGTAGGTGGGGCGAGGCAGTCCCTCTTCACAGTTGCATAGGAGGTAGATCAGATGGCCTTTTTCAGGGGTTCCTTCTACTTTGCAGAAAGGTTTTGATGGTTTGACTGTAAAAGAAGAACAGACACATCAGGAGTGCACACCCGGGCTGCAAACATCCACCTCAAGTTCTGGTACCCTGCTGCTCTGAGCAAAGAGCTGAACCCCATCCAGGTTTCCATCCAACAGCAGAGTCTCATTTATGGAACTGATCAAAGCCTCTCCCATCAAAAAATTGAGTCATAATAAATATATGTACATGGCCTAGGATACAGTTTTATTATCCTCCATTTGCATATTAACTGTTAGGGAGGTGTTGAAACTACAACTATCAATTATTTTCACTCACTACTACTCACTATTCACCATACACCATTCTGACACATAGCAACATCATGCTCTTTAGAGACACAGAAGGAACTTTCCTCCACAGAGGGAGAGGATCAAGGCCCAATTCTTTCAGTATATTAACAGTGGTGAAGGAAATAAATCAGCTCTAGTTCTGTTAAAAAAAGCATCCATTTTTATATAATGTCCTCACTTTTCACAAAAGGGAAGAGTCTGTCTTCACTTACACCATTATTTTTCATTTCCCCCTTCCAGAAATGCTTTTGTGGTTCTTTAGTGCTGTCAAGGGAAACCACCAGCAATGAACGTAGCCCAAACCAACAACTTTTCATAGTTTTCATGTAGAAAGTGAAATCTTTTACTCAACTGCTCCAAGATTTACTATTCATTTGGGAAATTTTAGATGCGAATTATCAGTAGTACTTTGGTTTTTCAGGAAATCAGTTTACATATATTTTTTGCTTATCCCTGGAAGACAGACAAGTGATGCCAAGTTAATCTACTTTTCATCCTTTCTGCTCTGTCTGTTCATGGTTGAATATTACTTTCTTCCACACAAAACAGACTTTGTACTACTTTCATCCAACAAATACTAAGTTTCTAGAGGTTTTGGGAATTTATATGAGTCAGAACTCTTGGGCTGTGCTGCTGCCTCTCCCTAGGTTTAGGCAAGTCACCATGACCAACATTAGGTAAAATGGGTGAAGTTTGGGACTGTGCTGGGGCTGCATGTAGTGGTGTCAGTGAGAAGTTGTCACTCCTAGCTAAAATAATGTTTTATTTTAACCAAAACTAGTATAACTTTGTTTTCCAGTATGAAAAATGGAGTGCAGCTGGGTAATTCTAGCCACCCTCTTACCTGTGTACCTAAAGGATCTTTTTGAGAGCACAGTGTGACTCTGAAGGCCAGTGGTGGGAGGGTGAGATTTGACTGCAGTTCAGGCAAAGGCAGCTGTGCAGTGAAGCAGGTCAGTGTGGCTGGAAGCTAGAGGGCAGCCAGGCTCTGCCTGCCTCCAGAGCCCTTGGAAACTGCAGCAGTGACTCAGGGAGCTTCCCTCTGCGCCATGGGCCTTGTTTACCACAGCCTGGTATTCCCTCTGGCCCTACGCGTTTTGAGCTGTGAATTCAGTGTTTCATAACATGGGATGGAAAAGACAATACAGCAATAGAGAGGGGAGGCACTTACCCAGCACATTGACAATCACAGATTTTTGACTCTGTCCAGCATCACCCTGAGGGCTGAAAACTTCACAGGTGTAGGAGCCAGTGTCTGAGGGCTGCATGTTGGAGATTGTTATTGATGCATTCCCTGGACTTGTTGAGGCTGTTATCCTGTTCTTAAATGCTCCATAGGAGTAAGACTGGCCCCCTGAATAATAATAGATCTGTGATAAAGAAACAATTGTTAGGTTAATAACAAAAGATCTTCTTGCTTCTTTGTTTGGTACTCGGAATATATTTGATTTCTGATTAGAGCCATGCAATGTCACCCCCTTTCTTGCCTCCTCCCCCAAGAAAGCAGAAATGAAAACACAGTACATTAGAATACATACTTCTAAAGGATCTTAAAAGACAAGCTTTTTAGAAATGCTATTTTCATTGTGTAATTGACAGTAGCTAAATCTTTGTGGATACTCCAAGCACAGACTGATGCAATTGCAAAAACAAAAGTGAGAACATTGAACATCATATGAAAATTTTGTGAAAAAATGCTAAGTCATGCACATTGAATAATGGTATTAAGTGAAGCACTGATAACATGTGATAGCATTAATAAGAGGCTGAGTGGAAGATTATGACAAGGATGGACCTGTCATTGGAAAAAGTGTGTGGCTGCAGAGCTTTCCAAATACAGAATCTGGCAAACAGAGGACTGAAATGAATTCACAAGACAAAAGGTCTAAGCAAGCAAGGCACCTGATCTGTTGGCAGTAAGTTTGAAAGCCATGAGGATGCAGTAAAGAACACAGCAGAGTCATCACCCATGCAACTAAAGCAGCCATTCTGTTCTTGTATCATCAGCCATTCTGTTCTTGTATCATCAGCTTTGGAGGCAGTGTCATGGACTATCTTGGTTTTTTTAATTTATATCAGGGAGGAAGTAAAGAATACCTGCTGGTTGGGGGGGTCCTATTTGGGATCAAGAAATTCCCCTTTTACTAAATAGCAAAAAAATGACTTGCCAATTGATGGGCATAGTAAGGATAAATGTTTCTAAGGAGTGCAGCATTTCCTCACAGATAAAAATTGGTGATTTGAGATTGACTGATTTCACTGAGTTCAGTAGCATCAATTGCTATTAGCAGCATTGTGGAGTAGAAGTGGCCTCATAAGCCCAAACTTGTCTGCTGATGGAGAGGAGAGGCAGAATTGTGTTCACTGCAGAGCCTGGATGGCAGTCTGAGCCTTGGGCCCCGGGTCTGTTTAGGAACTGCAGGATCTCATCTGCTCTGGGGTAAATATAGTAATTCTCAAGGAATACCTGCCCTCTGTCCAATCTAACTCTGCTCTGAAACCAAGATCTGAAAGAACAAAGATATGGAAAACTACAATTCATTAATTGCTTTTCTGAGGTGTTAATGGTAGTTTGTGTGAAAGTGACACTCTTTGTGAGAGGCAATGTGTTCCCCCAGTGTCTACATGCACACACTAGGCAAAGTGAACAGCTCCAGCACACTCAGTCATTTCTCTAAACTGGTGAGAGGTGTCCATATAGAATTACAGGTTGTGACCCAAACAGATCTACCATTGTTCCTACTGGCAATATTACAGAATCATCAGTGTAAATGTATTTACTGAAGTTGAAGTAACAGCATGTTTTTTTAATGGAAATAGTGGGAAAATGCTTGTAGGAAAAGTTTCACAGACTCCTCTTCTTATGCCATTCTCACTTGACTAGTATCAAAATTTCCTTTTGGTCAAAGTTGCCTGCCTTTTAGGGATACTGCAGATCCCGAGGCAAGAAGTACAATTTGCTTTACTTTGCAGATGAAGTGATTGCATTTTGAATTAAGAATATTAATTCTTAATTCTATTTATCCTCCCTGATAGGGTGTTGACTGAAGTCTTTAAGGAATGTTATCTAAAAGCCTTTATTAGCTTAAAGCAAGGTACACTCCAAAACTGTCAGAGCACAGCTGGTTTATGCAAAGATATGGCTGTGGAATGAAGGTCAGAATCCAGCTTGCACAGCACCAGCAGCTCCAGGACTGCAGCTTGGCCCTCTCTCAAGAGCAATTTTGCATACTCCTCAGCCAGACTTTATCTTTCCCTGCCCCAGGATTACAAACACTGGGTACAATTGATGCAGGGCTCTGAACACCAAAGCATTCCCAAGGTGTGGAACACTGCTGGCACAGTGGGGAAGTGTAAGAGGTCCAGGGTCGATGACAGACCTGGTTGGAAAGTGTTGAAGCTGGATACTCCTCCCAGTATCCATTGTGTGCATGCAATACCATCAATTTTCAAACTGATTTTATACTTTGCAAATGTCTAGAGATGGAACTCTTTTGCCAAACCAGAGTCTGGATGGACACACTGTATTCCCTGGTTCCATTGTGTGCATGCAATACCATCAGTTTTCAAACTGATTTTATGCTTTGCAAATGTCTAGAGATGGAACTCTATTGCCAGAGTCTGGATGGACACACTGTATTCCCTGGGGAAGGAGGGTGTTCAAAATAGGGAGTTTGGTTTAAACAAATCACTCATCAAAAAAGTTGTCTACCTGGAATCACAAAAACACACTGGCCACGTTTGTCTCATTCTACATTTACCTGAGTGTGAGCAGTAGCAGAGTATTATTTATCATTGTTACTTGCAAGAGTCTCAAGTTACTAGAACTGTGATTTCTGACTTCAGCCTCTTCTGAGGCTGATGTCCCTGGATAGCTCTCCATAGTGATGGGCTGGATTCCCATCTCCTCTCCAACTGCACTGTTGGAGCAGGGCAGTGAAAGGGATTCCATCAGATTTTTACACTGATGTGAAATTAAGCTCTACAATGATTTAAATGAAGTAATGTGTCTTGCTGCAGCAAGAAAGTTGTGGCAGACCCATCATACCCTATTAAAGGCTTGATTGTTGGAAAAAGGGGCTAAATTCTACTCAATCTACCTCAGAGTGATCTGGGATTATGTGAGAATAAAGAGTAGCAGAAGGGGCCCACAGAATGCTCATTTAGGTACAGCCCACCTCCCTGGGAATAAGACTGGCACTGCAAGTTGTAAATGAGCCAGTAAACGCTGCAGAGGAGCAAGTGCTCCTTGGTGTGTTTGACCTGGAGTCAGGGTGAGTTACGTGCTCGAGTCCTCATACAAAGCACTGAAAAACTAATCCTGTGTTCTCTGTTTCTGAGTCAATGAATGCAGAGAAAATATTTTGTGTACTCTGTTAAATCTGAGGGCCTGGAGTCAGGGTGAGTTACGTGCTCAAGTCCCCATACAATGCACTGAAAAACTAATCCTGTGTTCTCTGAGTCAATGAATGCAGAGAAAATATTTTGTGTACTCTGTTAAATCTGAGGCAGGTGTCAACACAGCAGAGACCATTTCTCCTCCTCATAGGTTCAAACAGAGTCATACTGGGTCACTTTTTGTCAGCCCTGAACATAAAGGCAGTGAAACATTCTCAGGCAATGTGTTCAGTTCCTCTGCAGGCTCCTGCCTGTTCTCTGTTCTCTCCTGTTCCATGCTTATCTCCCTGGCTCTGGAGTTCATTGCCTGAAGGAAGGTGGTAAACACCAAAAAGGCTGAATAATGTTCTGATTAATTGCTGAGTGTATATCTTGTCCCAGAGGTATGATTGGATTGTGTACACAGGAAATTTCATTTAAGAGTAATATGTTTCAGTTAATTGGCTATGAATTCATAGTCCATTTTAAACAATACACTCAAAGTGGATACTTTAAACCCTGGTTCAAAGTGGTTTTATGCTGTCCTTGAAAAGCCGGTTTGTGGCTTTCAGAAAACTGAAGTAAAAATCTTTGCAAAAGTGTTTCTCTTTTGATTCAAAAGTAAAAAAAAAAAAAACCCCACAAAAAAACCAACTTGTTTTCTGTTGAAGATATGGAAAACTTTTTGGTTTTGGGCAACTGCCAGCTAATGTTTTCTCCTACAGACACACATAATTGATTTTTCTTTCCATATTATACAAAATATGTGTATGGGAAAATTGTATATTTAGTCAATGGTAGACTTTTTCTGGAAACCTTTTAAATCTCATGTGATAAATATATTTTAAGTGCACCATCTTGGATGAAAAAAAATACAAAATAAATCTGCCGTGCTTCCCTTCAAACAATCAGCTTTTCATGTCCTCAAGCAAATCATGAGCAGCTCTAGTGGAGTTGATGATTTACCAGAGCAGAAACAATATCGAGGGTGCATTAATGGTTGTTGCTCCTCCTTACCAGCTAGTTTGTTCAGGCAAGTTATTATATAATGGTGCCTTTTACATTTCATGGAAGCAGCTGCCTGGGTGACTAACCAGACAAATGACAGAAAAAAGAGTGGAAATTATCACTCCTAAAACTGTTGTCCCTAATAACTTCATAATCTGAGACACTAGTTCCTGCTAAACAGCAAAGTTGCCCAGAAGACATCTCTGACCTTAGGAAGGGTTGCAGTTCAGCTGGTTGTTCAGCCTGTGGGCCAGGCAGTGCCTGGAGCTGCTGTCCCCAGCCACCCCAGCCCGTGCTGTGGTTACCCTTCCTGGCCACAGGCAGCTTCTCCTAGAGGGATGGTGCAGAATATATTTGCCTGCAGAGGAAGCAGTCAGCAGGGCTGAGGCTGAGTTGAGGGCTTTCAAAGGCTGAGAGATGTTCAGCAGCGTGTGAGGAGCCCACCTCCAGGTTTTTGTTGTACAACTTCTGTAGCAAGATCTTCCTTAGGGTGTGAAGGGGGTGTGTGAAGAAGCAGGCAGGAAATTAGAAGAAATTGCCTCCCTCTGCCTCTATTCTTCTTTTGACAGTGTAAATATGTGTTTTTCAGATGGCTTTGGATGGACTCCTTCATAATTTCCAGGTCAATACTCCTCCCATCCCCATCTCCTGGAGTCACTGCATCACAATGCTCTACATGCCTAGTTCTTATGGACATCAAAGTTATGAGATGCACTTGAAGGGGCATTACAGTGTCCTGCTTAATCTCCACAGAATCCTGACTGACTCGATGGCAGTTTCAGGACATGACCTCTTTTCCAGTACCTGTCTTTCCTCCCCCAGCCTCTTCTCCCTTTCCAGCACATGTGAGTCTCTAGGATCCTGTTGGATGATGTTTTTCTGGTGGATTCAGTGTGTGACTCAGTCTTTGCCTGGAGAGCTGGAAGGCTCCAGCATCCAGAGGGCCCTGTCATTGGGTTGTTTGTCATTTTCTCTTTGACATTTTCTCAAGCTACTAGAAAATGGAGGATATTAACAACTTTACTGGTTTGAGGTTGTGATCTCTTTTTGAATTCTGAGGACAGACAGAATTTATAAAATAACAGCAAGGGGAAAAAATGTTCATCACTTCCTTAGGCATCTTACCATCTGATGAGAGAACAAATGCCACACAGTCAGTGTTAATAAAGGCCCAAAGCTGAGATTCTGAGCTCAGCTAGCAAAGAAAGCAAATGTTCACACATGTGTTGGTTTCTTTGACACATGTCACATGGCTGAGTCTGGGCCCAAAGCCCTTATTTCATCCACAGCTTCTTTTCACACATTGTTGTCAAAACTCTGATCTGCAGAAGGTAGTAGGGATATTGTAGGGATATCCCTTACTGGGCTTTTTGCATGGGGAATTGAAGGTATTAACAACGACAAGAAGTGTCTTGTCACAACAGTGCATTGGTAGAAGAAGAAAGGGAGGGAGTGAGAAGCCTTTAGAGGATTAGTCATTCAGCAGCCTTAACTGATGCAAACATACTGAAGGAGTAGCTCTTCCATGTTCTCACAGTATCATTCTTGTGGCTGAGCTATTAGTGAATATTCCCATCAAGAACAAATGTGTTTTCTTAGTGCATTTGGTGTAACTGCTCTTCAGCAGTTTTTATTAGCTGTCAGTTTGCATTAGGCTGTACCCTGCACCTCGTGGTGAGGCAGGAGCCCTGCTGCAGTCAGAGTTTGGAATGGGTTAGGGCGGGAATGCTGAGCTGACAGCTGAGAGGAAGCTGGTTCAGCCCAGTGTCCTCGGTATCCATCACATCTCAAAATGGTTTTGTATTCTAGAAAGGAGATCCAGGATGATTCTTTTTCTATGTAAATATGTAGCCCCAAGTTTGGGCTGTCCAGTCTTGCTCACATTCAGCCCAGAAGCTCCTTGTGGCTGCACATACCCTTCAGACACCCTTTGGGTAGAATATTCCTGCAGGTGCCAGTGCAGCCACCTAGAATGGGGGGGGACCTCCCAACACAACAGCTACATCCAAAATAATTTTGACAGAAAAAAAATGCAATAAAAAATAGGGTGAGTTAAAAATTCTGGATCATGCACCCGATTCAACTTGTTTCAGTCATGTGCTGGTTTTGAGATTGCAATACAGAATATGAATACACGTTTCACAGTAGCACAAATCTAGTAGAAGCTATTTAGCTCTGTTTCCCCCTTAAGATGATGGGGATTGTTTTCTTACCTTGTATCTCCAGCTACATCTTCCCCGTGCATCTGTCACATACACCGTCTTTTGACAAAGACTGACTGACTTTTCATCCATACTCAGAATACCATGACACGGGGAATGCTGTATTTGAGTAAAAATGTGCTGATCTGAGAGTTAAATGAGACTTTAAATGTTCCCCCAAAACCACAGAGCCATTTCTCACACAGCTCCCCACCTACCATCCGTGCTGATCACGAGGGCAGGGTGCCTCGTGTTCAGTGTTTTGTGCAGAAAGTACCTCAGGCCTTGTCAACCACAAGATGAAACAGAAGCTTATTCATAAATTCTATCTAAAATTAGGCAAACTAAGATTAAAGTCTAATGTTTGCTCCAAACACCCCAATTACAGCCTGATTATTTTCTTCTTGTCTGCACTTCCCTTTGTGATAACCACAGGCAGTCCCCCATAGTCCCAGTGACATCCAGGGTCACTCCAATGGCAGTGGCACACCAGCAGCTCCATTCCTCTGCTCTGGAGGTGTTCCCTTGCTCCCCATGAAGCTGTTCTTACAGTGCCTGCTCAGGCATCTAAGTGCTAGATACAGCTCAGTTTGAAAAAATCAGCTCTAGGCAAAAAGAAATGCTTATGGGTGAGAGAGGCCCTTTGCAGGGAGGGTTCCTGTGCTGCCTCAGGGGGTGCTTCACACAGGCTCACCTTTCTCATGGCTGGGATGGGCTGCTCTGCTCCCCAGCTGCTGTCCCCTGCAGCACGGGATCTCAGGTGTCGTGTGAAAGTGTGTGAAGGTGTCCCCTGAACTGCCCAGACTGCATGGAGGGGAATTTGTTCTTTCAGAAGCTTTTATGGAAACCCCCCACATACAGGGCTGGCTCTCACTGGCTCTCACCTGGGGTAGCCCAGTGGCTACAACTGTGCCTTGCTTTGTGCTGAGCAGCAGAGCTGTGCTGCTATTGGGATACTGATAATCTGAATTTGGAGTGTCAGGGTGGAAGGAACTGACACATCTGTGCTCAGGTCACTCTTCTTGCCACTTTCCTTCTTTGTGCTTTCCCTCCTTGTCCCTTGCTGCTGACCAATGTGCCACAAGTTTGTATTTTTTGGAGAAGATTTTAATAAGTCTATCAATCATTCTGTTTTGCCTAAAAGTAACATGCATCCATGACCTTTACTCATACAGAATTTAAAATTTCAATCAAGAATCCTGCCCTGGGCACATCTTGGTTAGCCAGGCAGTGCCCCTGATCATTTCACTGACTGCAGCTGTGGGTGGGCTGAGGCTCAAGGTGTGGCCAGGTTGGGTTCAGGAGTTGGATTTAGCTTTGCAAGGCTGCAGCCTCACCTGTGAAGAGTCAACAGAGGCTTCAGCTTTCAAACATTTACTTTGGTGCTTTACACTGGGGCCAGCCAAGTGACTCAGACATAAAATGAAGCACAGATGCAGGTCTTAGCAGGGGCTGAGCTGTACCCTATGAATCAGGCCAGGCTGTGATGTGCCCTGAGAGAGCAAAGCAGTGTTAGCCTCAGTTTGTCGAGATCTAAAATAGAGATCACTCAGTGCTGGAAAGTTCTCAAGATCCTTGGCTGGGAGTTATTATTTAAAACTCAAATTCAGCACTAAAGGGCATGTTACTAAGGGCTAAATGGCAAAAATAAAAAGTTAAAAATATGTATGGCATCCTATTTTCCATGATTTTATACGTACATTATTAAGTTCAAGTGAGGGAAATTACTTCTACTAGAGAAACTTCTCAGGAAAAGGGCAGAGTTAGGCTCCATTAGAAAAAACTGTTTATATTCACCCACTAAAGCTGTGCTGTCTTCAAAAGAGTGCTGTGAACACCTGGCTCTGTTTGCTTGCCCCATTTTCACTGTGCAGCCTGTGAGCAGCCTGCAGTGGTGTAACTGCCATGCTTGGAGCTGTGAGCACCTGGGCAGCCCTGGGGAGGGTGGCAGGCAGGGCAGGGCAGGGCAGGAGAACACCACAGCACGAGCAGAGGACAGCACCAACCTCACCCAGGCAAATCTGCATCGGCAGCAGGGCTGCAAAGCAATGCAAAGCACAGCCTGCCCTTGAGGCAAGGTAAAATGTGCTGCTGAGTACTTAGGGACATTAAATTAACACTGGCACTACTCCTGATCCTGGCCTTACTGATTTCACTCCAGCCAGGACTGTACCTGAGCTTATGAATCTCAAAATACACTGCAAAATCTGGACTCTAAGTGGCAGTGTAAAGCAAAGGGGTGTGTACGGCCTCTGCTTTTTATATGTTATGTCTTAAAATCTAGTAATTTAACCCTCCCATTCATTAATGCTTAAAGCCAAAAGCTTCTTAATGGTATAAATTTGCCTTAATTATAAATAACGTTTATAAATGCATATAGTATTTACAGCTTGCTCTGTTACTTGTTACCACTGTAGAGAGAAAGGGCCATGTTCTCAGTTGTTTAAATAAACAGTATTTATTAAAATCAATAATTTTTTCCACACATATTTGTTATAGAGAATATCTCCTCTGCTTAATCTTACTATTTTCAGTATAGTACCTGTGTGAATAACATGGTCATCAAGACATCTAGCATTTAGTAAGATGTCAGGAATATCTTAAAATTTAATAGGTTGGAGAAGATTCATTTCTGTAATTTTTTATAAAACTTCTAACACGGCTGTCTTCAAAATATTTGGCAGAATTTTCCAATATTCAAAAATGGAATTTGAAAATGTTATCCAATTAGTTGCTGAAAAAAAGGGCAATTTTTTAGTAGAGCCAGAATTTTCAACAAATTTTTTAGGGCAAATATATGCTATTTACAAGGAAGTGTTTGGTACTTTGTTATGGATCTGTAAGAAGAATCTAAATATCTCATAAAATTAAATAATTTTATTCCAGTTAAAACTCAAGCTATTGTTCTGGTATTCAGTAAGATATGGTGCCAGTCTTTCCAATATAGTTGGGTTTGTCATTTTACCAGCATATGAAATATATTTTTGAATTGCATATTAGTATTGTTTTACCTAAACAATGAAAGCCAAAGCTGGCAACCTCCTCCATTTTCATGCACATGTTTCCTACTTGGAACAAAATGTGAAACTTAATTCAGCGATGTGCCAAGCCACCAGGGCAGAGCCAGGTTTGTAGAGAGATTATCTTTTTGTTTAAACTTGTGAGAGGAAAACATGCAGGCTTTCAGGCTCCCAGTCCTTTCTGAAATTCTGAAATAGATATACCAGCCTCATTCAGAGGGAGGGTGAAAATCCAACTTTATGTTCAGCTGTGTTGTGTGATTTCTTAAACCGTATTTTCCACAAGCAATCACAAGCCTTTCTTCCCAGTGTTTGCACTAACACCATTAATTTTATTGTGAATTGGTTCAAAATGGAAAGGAATTGCCAGGGGGTGGTAAAAGGATACAGGGTCCAGTAATACAAGACTGAAAGGGCTGCTGAAAGCACTTTAAAAGAGCAGTGCCCCAGCCCTGCAGCCTGCAGGCACAGCAGCAGCATCCAGGGGGCAAAGGGAGCCCCTGAGCCTGGCTGAGCCTGCCAGCCCAGGAGAGCTGCAGGGAGAGGAGGTTGTGCCTTGGAGCTCAAGGAGAAGGGGACTAGCACTAACCCATGGCCCCTCCAGACTGAACTGACCTTATGTAATGAAAATGCAAATCACCCATCACAAGCACAGCCTTTACAAATGTGTGAATTTGCTCTGAAATGAGTTTCAGATGGGGAATCCTGCTGCAATTTTTCCCAGCAGTGTTCCTCATGGATCTGATAGGCACAGCTTTCCCACTGCCTGGAGTGAGAGCTGCAGAAGCCAGGAGGGAGCACTGGAGGGATTGATCCATGAGGTTTCCCTGACATCTGGTATCTTGCATTGGTTAGGTCTTGTTGAGTGTATTCTCAGCCACCCACAGTATTTTATGATTGTAATTTTCAGGCGGTATTTTTCTCATCATTAGCCACAGTTTACAAATGGTTTTCCCCTCCTGGATCTCTTGAAACTGTGTGACTTCCCTCTAAAATACTTATAACTACAATCTGCTCATTTCTCTTGATTGTGACCAGAAAAATGTATGGCATTTAGTGTGTTGCAATATGGAAAATTTCATACAAGTAGAACAGAAAGACTCTAACCAAACCTGGATGAGATGAGTTTGAGCATATGTCAGTGCTGTACTTCCCACCTGAACAAGCAATTATAATTTCAGATGTAACATATTGGATCAAAATTATAATATATTGTACTATATACAACTTGGGAAACCTGTAGCTACCACCCTTTCAGGAATAATTCTTCATTTAATGAACTAGTGTTAACTTGAGGAAAGCAAACAATGAGTAACAATTACTCAGCTACACAATCAGGCAAGGTGTGCCTAATCAGGCATTCAGCTAGGGTCAGAATTTGGGATGGGCCCAGAGTTTGTACTTAGCACTGATACAGGCTTTGTCTGTGACTGTGATATACTGCAGGTGAGTGACCAGTTAGTTCTGTCTTAGGTTAAATTGCTATTTCTTACATTTTGGCTATTGTTGTTCAATGCCAAATACATTACAACCTGCACATTCTGCAAATTACAGGCTAATTCTGCTGTCATTGATAAACCAAATGGAAGGTACAACTGTATCAGCAGTGGCAAGCCTCCTACTGAAATATTATTAGGAATTAATAATGAACAGGACAAAAATATCAAAAATATCTTGAGTGTGGACTCTGACACTCCTCTAAGTCAAATCTCTTTACATCAACACTCAGCTGTAACACCAGGCAGGAGGATTGAACTTTCAGAAAAAAAAAATATTGGCAACAGTATAAAAACAAAGGGAAATGATTGTCCCACAAGCTTAAGCCTGACACCAGGGCATGGAAAAGGAAACCCAGTCATCTTCAAGGATTCAGCAACACTTCTAATTAGGATTTCTTCTTACAAAGGAAAGTGTTGCTGGCTGCTCACCACCTGTCAGGACTGAGCTGATGGAGCTCATACCCTGTGTGTTATGCTGGCAATGACATTCATGGGTTCATTTCCCCAGCAAGACATAAGATGAATTCTTAGTTCTTGAGTTTGGGCAGTAGTGTGAGTACACACAGGCAGGTACAGATCCCATCCCTGACCCCTTCCAGGCAGACCAGGCTGCTCTGCAAGGTCCTGACAGACCCACGAGAGGCCCAGGCTGTGGTTGGACCAAGTCACTGCTGGTGTTGGTGTCCTTCCCCATCCCATCCACTCCAGCCTACACCAAGGTCTCATTATCTCCCAGAGTGTGATATTGTTTGGCTGTGCAGCCTTTGGGGGTCTCAGGAAGGGCAGGGACCATTTGCCCTTGACCTGTGATTGTTCTGTTTCCACAGGGACAGCCATGGGATGCTGGGAAATACCAATGCAAGTTTGCTGTGGCAAATTTCCTGCTATGAGAACTTTCTGCAGAGTGCTGCCAACACTTGCTGCTCACTTTGTGCTCACAGCCCACCCTCATGCACAGCTCCTCTTTCTGAGCTGCCAAAAGGCAACTGCAGTGCCCGAGTCAAGGAGCTCTCATTTGACCCTTAAATGGGGAGCAACAATTGTCATAGGCAAGGGCGTCTCACCAGGAAAGCAGCTTTCACAATGGCAGGAAATATCTGCCAGACAAGAGAAAAGGGAGCTGGTCCAGGCGCTGCAGCACTTGTATGATTTTTGGACACCTGGTCTTTGCTTCACACTTCCTGTGTGACTTGGAGCAAGTTGTTTGAGCATCTGAATCACTTTTGTACTTTCTCATCAGTTTGTGAAGGCATTCAGGCATGTCAGTGGAAACTAGGAGCCTAGATAGTTTGTTCATCTGCCCCTAAATTTCACTGCACCCCAGTTCTTAATCTCTAGGGTCGGAACCCCAACATTACCTGGTCTGCAGAAAGGACAACCCCACCAAACATAACAAGACTCTTTGAGGACTTAAGGATATTTCTAATGTAATTTCATAGTAATAAGAAATAAATGTCTTACGGTATGCAGCTGACTCTCTTTGGCACTGTAAAAACTCCACTGAATAAAGAAATTTCCCAGGGGTTCAGGACTGGTGTAGGTGCAGAGCAGAGTTGCATTTCCACCTGTTGTGACATTCACTGTCTTCTCAGGGACCGTCACCACGACCCCGCTGGTGTGGCCTGTGGGCAGTGAGTGTGGAGAGCAGAGATCAGCTGGGGCTGCCCTGGGAGCCATGCAGGAATTATACACTGTGTTATTGAACAAACTGCAGGATGTATCTGGCTGTTCTCCCTTTCAGTACAGCTTCCCTTGGGCTTTTTGTGGAAATTTCAGAGAAAACAAGATGGGACTGGGTAAAAGCTGGCAGGCAAATAAATCCCCCAGAATACTCATGTCCTTGCAACAAATAATATTCTTAAAAAGCAAAGTTCCTAAACCCATACTTGTTCTCATTGGCTGATAGTGATCTTCTCACTGAGAGTCTGTGGTCAAACTGAGCCTCTCTTCTGCACTCACAGTGCTCTCCTGTGCTTGCACTCTCATTAGCTGTGTCTACCCCTCTCTTACACCTTTCTTGTCCTTTTTGGGTTTTTTTCCAGTTATTTCATTAGATTCTGGTCTCCTTCACTGTGGAGCATTATCACCTACAGTGTTTTCACTTCATACTCCCTTATGTTCTGACCAGGACTCGGTGGCACTGTTGGATCCCTCAGGCTGGAGTGCAGCAGCTTTTCTCTGATTTCTTTGTTAATTGCTTTGCTTTTCTTTAGGTTTCTAAGTGTTTACCTCCAGAAGCTGTTTTTTCCCCAATGCTATTACACTGAAAAAATCAAACTAAACATTTTGGAAGTGCTTTAGCTCTGTGGGTTGTAGGGAGTTCTTTGATAACTCGATCAGCCCTTTCTGTTGTGCTCAGAGCAGAAAGGGAGCAAACACAACTGGGGAGCCCTTCCCCACAGTGCTCTGATCAGTCTTGGCTACACAGTCACAGTAATGAAAGGAATCAAGCACCCCCTTACAGTATTTATCTGTTTCTATCCTCTGTGAATTACTAGCCATGATGACACATGACAGCAAAGATAGAGCTGTCAGAAAAATAAATCTGAATTTCAGGGTTTGGTAGGTCACTGAGTGCAGTTTGAAAGCTGATATCTAAAGATTCAGACTGAGAATGTATTGATTTTGATTGGGATGGAAAACATTAAACATTTTGGAGCTTTCTGTGCAAAACAGGTAAGGTGAGAATTTAATGTTATAATAATTTTCTTGTGGATTTATTGCATATATTAATGATTGAGACAAAGATGTAAAATATTTTTCTCAATGCAGGATCTGTGCATCTTATGTTGGGGTGCTGCTTTTGAGAGTTTAAGCAGAATCTGCAGTAATACCAAAGAGTATTTTGCTGAAATTTACAGCCCTGTGTGAGAAACATTGTTTATAAAAATAAACACTCTATTTTGTCTTTTTAAACTATGTAAATATTGCAAATTCATGAGTTAATACAAATTCATGAGTATGCAAACCTATGTGAACTGTTTTCCTTGTTTGATGGCTTCAACAGTAAAATCTCACTGCAAGCAAGGAAGAAAGGAATAATACAGTTTCTGTGTTAGTGGTAGCTAGGATCAAAATTAATGGGTTTAAACTGCCAGAGGATTTATATTATGTGCAAAGACATATAATATAGTGTCACAGGCATGGATGGAGACTGACCTAAATGTGTCAAATCTGCCTTGGGGAAAGAGAGGATCCCAGGACTGGCTGCAGTTCTGCTTGTCTTGTGAGTTCACAGCAGCTTAATCCTTACTGAGATCTAATAGAAAAGCTGTGCCACATTATTTTAGGTATCTAATAAGAATTAAGAATTAATTAAGAATTAGTGTTGGCCAGAGGATGATTGCTTCCTGCCACAGTTTACATGCATTTATTTTCTGCTCTTTGCAGGATTAAAGGTACTCTCTTTCAACACAATGTTATTCTGCTGAAAACATCCATTTTCCAGTCATCTGCTCCACATATTTACTTTCTCATTCTCTGATTTTCGAGTCAGGAGTGCCACAGAATCTGACTGTTAAAAGCTTTTCCAGAAGAAATTAATTTTTAGCAAAAATTACTCCACAAAGCATTCTAGTTTCCATAAAACTATATTTTGAAGAAATACATTTAATTGAAATAATCTTGACTCAAGTAAAAAGACTGTTTAAACCAATGCTAATTGCAACATGGATCTTTTGACTGGCAGCAGAGTGAACTGACCCCACAGAGCCTGTTTCCTCACCATGAGTGTTAATGGCAGTTCCACCTTGCATTTATGGCTTCCAACCCCTAATCCCATTTCCTACATACAGGCCTTCTGGTTTAAATTTTTAAAAAGTGCAGAAATAAGAAATAACTCAGTAAAAACAGCTAGACTGTTTTTAACTTGTTAAAAATGGCTGATCCATGTCTTTACTCACCAATATCATAGTGAGACTCTTTCCTTCCCCCAGAGAAAGTCATTGCAGTTAATTAGGAATCTCCCACTTTCACTGAAGTCCTTTGCAGTTTTTAACACTCATGAAATAAATTGAGTTTGCTGATCTTTTCTGAGCCACAACAGAAACCCCAAGTCAGCAGTGCCCACCAATATGGGCACATTGCTAGTCTTAAATCCAGAACTTGCAAATTAGAGGAGATTGCTTTGAAAAGTATAGATGGTACCAATTCTGAACTACTTTTCACATCTAAGGTAAAAATCTGATGGGCTTATATGTGTGTGAGGGTTAGAACACTGAAACTCCAGGAGCAGCTACTTAAAATATTTCTATGGCACCCAAATCAGATAATTCCATCTGGAAAAGAAGATGTGGAAACTAACTTTCATTTTCTGTAGTGGATACAGGGACCGTTTATCTCCATGGAGCATTAAAATGACTGCTTCTGTATATATTAAAAATAAAGCTTAGCACAATGAAATGCCCTTGAAATATGAATAATACATAGTTTTTACTATACCATAAAATTCCTGGATTCCACAGAGTATCATGTCCTCATTTAATTAAAAGATTCTTTACATGCTTAAAGTTAAGAATCCCCTCAAAATTTTTTTGGTGTTTGGGGGACTGAGGCATCATTTTCCAGCCCTATTATCAAGGGAAGACAAAAGACAAACATGGAAAAACCTGACCTTGAAACACATGAAAGACCTGAACGAGCTCTTTGCCTCTTCCTGACATCAGAGCAAAGCATTAATCCACCAAAGCCAAAACTCTGTTCTTGAGCAAAAAGCTCTTACCAGGCAGGGGGCAGTTTGTGGATTTCCAGAGGATGGTCTGGCAGTGTAGCCATGCTTTTTATTCCATCCTGAAATAATTCATCTCAAGAGTTCTCCCAGTTTGCTAGCCAGGCTCACCTGCTCTCTTCCTCCCACAGGCTCCTCTGTGCCAGCACTACCTCCATCAGTTTGTTAGTCTTACCTGCAAGGATGGCTAGAATTGGAAATATCTTCAGCATTGTTGCACACATCTTCTTGATGCTGGGTGAGAAAAGAGACCAGATGCTGCTTCTGGCTGGGACTGAAACTGAGCTGGGTTATTTTTTGAAGTTGGTTTTTTGTTTTCCTTATCAGCTGTGTATCAACACGTCATGAGCTGTTTCATTCTCCTTTATCACTTGTGTGCCTTTCTCCGACTAGTGGTGTGACTGCTCACTTGAAACCATTTTGTGGGGTTTGAGCAACAAGGGTTTTGTTAATAATAAACCTTTGAATCAGAGAAGACCAAATTCTCCCACTTTTGCCAGGCCCTGCAGTATTTGCTTACCTAAGTACTTCCACTTGAGTACAAGAAAAGTATTTGTGGAGCTATTTAGTAGTCAACCTGATTACTGGTGTTGGGGTCAGGCCTAATATGAATAATCCTTATTTCCTATTAATTCTGTAATTTCCTTTTAAAAATGGGCATGTGTAGATAATACATTGTCAGTACATTTTCAATTCAAAGCATGTATCTCATACATTTTGTTCAGCTTCCCGGAGGAGCCAGATTTGCTTTTAGTGCTCCATGGTGCCTGACTGAGGCTGATTCAGAGCCCTGAGCTGCAGTGGGAGTATCTGCTCTGCACAGAGCCATGGGGAATGAGTGCCTGGAGACAGAGCAGAGGGCAGCATTGCCTTGTACATGTGCACCTGCACCTGGGACCAAGGCAGGTAACATGGCATGGGGCTTTTTCTACGCTTGTTGAAAGCATGAGTCTGATTCATGCCTGATGGTCCCATGGGAAGCCCTTTGGGAAGGTGGGGCTCAGCATCTGGCCATGTGAGGTTGGAGGGGAAAGATACAACCAGGCTGTCCCTCATCTCTCATGTGATACGGTGGCAGATTCTACAGCAAAGTCAGGTTGCTGGTTGTATCAGTTACTGCTGGGATCAGGTTTATGGACTATTCTATTCTGCCAGATATTTCTGTGCATGGCAGATGCCTGTATAATCTCTGGGCAGATGGCAGGGTTTGGTGATAGTTTTATATGAGCCATCTCCAAAAGTTTTGGGGATGTCTTCTCCTTGGTTCTGGCTGTCAGCACTTGACACAGATTCCAACAGAGTGGGCAGTGCCTGTCTTTAAAATAGAGGATAGACAAGTCTTGCAACTGTTAAATGTCTTGTCCAAAAATCACAGGGGACCCAGAGTCCAAAAAGGAATATGTACATTGGAAGACTGAAATTCAAATTCAGATTTCTTCCAAAAGTTGAAAAGCATTTAGATTCACCTTCACTGAGGAAGTGTGGAGGGATCATGAGCACTCATGGGAAATATTCTCTGGCTTTCTCCAAAGCCTAAAATGGGAGCTGCTGCTGATTTCTAGTCATTCAACCATGGATGAGTGCAAATGATCTGAACATGAGACAACCTACAGACACATTTCAGTGATTGCCTGTGGCAGCTCCATAATACCCAGGAGTCTGACTGTCAGCCCACAGAGCCCTGACCCTTTGCATAAGATAGCAATTGTCAAAAAACCACTGCCACTCTGCTGAGTAAGTCAGAACCTGCAGGACCCTGTATCTTCACCACAGTATCAGTGTGTGCTCTAATTCCCTCTCTTCTATCAACACCAAAGTCCTTTCCCTGGCATTTAAATCTCCCTCAGCTAACATGTATTTTTGCTTTGTTACATTCACTTTTTGCCAATTTAAAAAATGACAGAACTACATTCCTGGAGGGTGAAATGCTCAGTTTGACCAGAGAACAGGAGCCAAGAACACAAATCCTGTATCAACATGTGGCCCTTTAATTTTGGAATGAAGGGCTGAGATTACCAGTTACAGAATGGGTATAGCTCATAGCAAAAGATTACAACCATTACCCTGTTTTACAGAGGATTCTGAACAGCAGGAGTGTTTGTGTTTGACTATTACCCACCTGGGGCTCATTCCACTCAAAGCAGAGGTTCCCCAGCACTAATCCTGCAGGCCCTCCAGGGTTACTCTCCTGTGAAGGGAATAGATGGTACCTGTCAGCTGCTGACTGCTTCTAACTCATTGCTCCTGGAGAACAGCACTGCCTGTTCAGGGGAACTGAACACAGAAAACAAAATCTGCTTTGGTTTGATGCTTTAAATTACAGTGGGAAAAAGAACCTCTTACTTACAGTGCTCAGCTAAGAGGAGGGAACAGCCTAGAATGCAGCAGCACAGCACCCACTTTGCTCTGGGTGGAGAAAAGACTCCTATCTTGAGATAAAATGGAAGGGGCCACTACCAGGAGCTGTGTGTTAACAGACTTTGTGAGTCCTTCTAACTCATGGACAAGCAAAGCATTGCCTGTTCAGGAGAACTGAACACAGAAAACAAAATCTGCTTTGGTTTGATGCTTTAAATTACAGTGGGAAAAAGAACCTCTTACTTACAGTGCTCAGCTAAGAGGAGGGAACAGCCTAGAATGCAGCAGCACAGCACCCACTTTGCTCTGGGTGGAGAATTTTACATTACAGTGGGAAAAAGAACCTCTCACAGTGCTCAGCTAAGAGGAGAGAACAGCCTAGAATGCAGCAGCACAGCACCCACTTTGCTCTGGGTGGAGAAAAGACTCCTATCTTGAGATAAAATGGAAGGGGCCACTACCAGGAGCTGTGTGTTAACAGACTTTGTGAGTCAAGCCTGTGTACACTGAAATATATTCAGAAATGTTCCCTTTCGAGCAGCTCCCATTATTCACTCTTTAAATAGAAGTGTCAGTCATTAAAAAATGAAGCCCAGAGGCAAACCCCAAGCAAGGCAGCATCATTCAGACAAAGCACTGCCAGGATATTTAGGAGTTGCTTCTGTTGGCCTGAAACCTAATTAAAAAACTTCCTGTAGAATTCCATGTTTTGCTTGACAAAGCTCAGCAGTGTTCCAACTGCTGTCTTCCTGAAATAAGCTAAATCTGTAATTGTGTGATGACACTAAACCCAGTCTAACCCAGTGACTTATGAAGCTCTCTAGTTCCATATCACAGCTGATGGCTGAGGATGAAGAGAAGTGTGTAATTAAAGATTCCAACAAGTGCAGTGAAAGAGTTGTTTTAAGCCTCTAAATCCTTCATTAGGTTGATTTTCAAATGCACAGTACAGTTTGCTTGCTTATTGCACAGCCCTGTTTGTGGTTTTAAAAAAACATTTATAAGTTTTTGTGGAGTGTTTGCAGCCTAAAAGCTAATTAATGAACTCACTATTTTTAATCTTGCAGAGAATGAAAGTAAGTTAACAAAAATATAAACTCTTCTGAGGAGAGCACTGTGGCTTGTCACTTCAAAGTAACTTGGTCAGAAATATACCTAACTCTCTGTATTCAATCCCCAGATAAATATTATCAAATATCAAATTATCAGTTTCTTATCAAAAAGCACAATTCCATTTCCTTGTAAAGGGTCTAAAATGGTCCCTTTTTTCATTATTTTAAATATTGTCTCTTTTCTCACTCCAGAAAGGAGTTCTATTTTCCTTTTAGCCATTCAAAAGCCAGAGTTTCCTAGAGCAATCCTTGTCCAACAAACTTTCCACTTTCTGGGGAGGAAAAGAAGAAAAACAAGCACTGAAGTGAGATGAATCAGCCACCCCGTGCTCTTGTCCTGGCACAGAGATGCTCCCAGTGCCTCTGCCTGCCTTGCACTGCTCTGGGCTCCACACAGGCTGGGTGGGGAGCAGAACCAGCCTCTCTGGCAGACACAGACCGTGCAGGAAGTTTTCTTATCCTGCATTGCTTTAGGAAACTGATGCCTGCTGCAGTCAAAGGGATTTGTTTGTGTGCAGCACCTTGCACCAGAACTGTGACACCTGTACCCACAGCAGTGTGTGTTTAGTCACCCAGTTCCTTGGGAAATTGATGTGAATGTAAACGTCTGGACACATTTGTGGGTCTGGCTCACGATTTTTGGGTTTACAGGAACACTCCTCTGATCTTTCCTACCTTCTGACCTGAGGAAAAAATGAAAAGCAGAGAAGCAGCTGCTCATGATGCTGCCCCAGACCTCCTGGGGATGCTGGTGGAGCATCCACATGCCCTGGGATTAGGCTGCCTTGGACTGTGCTGGAGCAGGAGGATGGAAGGGCTGGAGGGAGTTCTGTTGCAGCAGCAGGGGATGGTTTTACATGGTAAATTTAAACACCTTGCGTGCAGGGGAGCTGAGCACCACAAGTGCCGAGTGCCCTGGTGGATAAAGAATGACTTTCTAACATGAAGTGCCACCATCAGAGAATCCATTTCTGCTCTGTGGCTCAAGGTCAAAGCCAAAGCAAGCTCTCCCCTGCGTGGTAAATCTCAGTAAAATGGTGCTGCCTTTGTACCATCACTGTTCCCTTGGATTTTCATTGACTGCATAACCTTTTCCCTGCATATGATCAACCCTCCTCATGTCTTTTCTCTTTTGACCTATCTCTTTTTCATATAGTTTCACAATTGAAGCTAATCAAATTAAAAAAAAAAAAAAAGCAAAAAAAAAAAACCCAAAAAACAAAACAACAATCAAACAAACACAATAACAAAAAAGGAAAATAAAGAAAATTCACACTGAGGATATGGGGATTAAACTGCCTATCAATCTTATCAGAGGAAAAGGTCTTTTTTCTAATAATTTGCATTTTCATAGATTAACAATTTTTGAAACTATTAAGTAGTTTTGTTCTTTTGGTTTGGCAGTATTTGTTGTCCTTGTCTAAAATGAAAAATGCTTTCAGCTTAAGAGTGCATGGAACTGCATAATTTAAATAGTGTCTGCTTGCCTTAACAGGTATGATAATGTAATTTTAGGGTTACTCTGCCATATTAAAACTGGCATAAAATTAATGCAATTGGGCTGAAGTCTAGGCTTTCCCCCTGCTCCTGCTGCCTCTGGATTGGAGGGTTCAGGTGCATTGATGTTAAAAGGATGCGTTTGTGCTTTCAAACACAACTGTTCATGCTGTCAAATGACTACAAGGTGACCTCATTCTTTATTTTAAAAAATAGCCTGTTTTTAAGTTCTCACTGTTTCAAGGAAATTCTTGGACTCAGTGCTGACCTCAGCTGCTCCCAACTCCAT